CTATCACTAGGAATATTTGAAAAAAAACGTCGTTTTACATATCATACAAGGACATACTTTCTTCTGTTAGATTATTAGTTTATATGTTATTAATATCAAAAGGGCAATAACCGAACACTGAAAGAAAAAACAATGATTTTCAGTAGTACCGCTAAAACTTCCAGTAAATAGGTTATAAAAGCAAATATTCACCTTCGTTTATATCCATTGTGTTTTGTGTTCAGTCCACGTAAGTTTTGAGCACCAGCTCTATATTATCTAACGATCCACTATAACTACACACGATTTTATGCAATATTTATCCAGAAAATCTTAGTTTTTTGTATTTTGAAATAAGCTCAACTGACAACTTGATTTGACAGTTAGTCCTTCGTGATGATCACTCAGTCTCAGTCAGTAGACGCGCGCAGCCTTCAACTAATTTCGTTCGAAAAGTTCTATTTGTTATATGCACTATACCGTCGATTAACTAAACGTACTATTTCTTATACTGAGAGGTGAGTGTAACTGCGTTATTTTATTGTACTTAATATTTGTTTTGACCCATAATATGCATGCGCTACTTATGTGTACCCAGTTTGCGAAGTTACATTACCTACACAGTTAGAGGGGACGACCTCGGAGTCGCGGAGAACCTAACGGGTAACCGGGGCTCCGGCTCGACGTGTAGGAGAAGGAACGGGGTGGTTTTTAGTCAGTAAGAGTCTGACACTCCCTCCCGCCTCACCCAGGCGGGGGCAGTCATTCGATGATTTTCCCCCCTTAAAAAAAAAAAAAAAAAAAAGAGGGGACGACCTTTGCTGTGAATAAACTATTTTTCCAATTTATACTGTTCAATCATGTTAATGTCGTGGTGGCCCGGAGGTTTAAGACACCTACTTCTCATGCCTAAGGATGCGGGTTCGAAACCTACCAACAGAAAGTACTAATGTGTACCGTAGTTAGTTAGTTATATGTACTTTCTAAGATTATTTAGACGCCACTGACTAACGGTGGAGGAAACAATCGTGAGGTAACCTAAGTTTATAATCTCTAATTCTAATTATAAGTTTGAAATCACCAACCCGCATTGAGCAAGCATGGCGATTAATGCTCAAACCTTTTCCGTGTGAGAAGAGGCCTTTGGTCAGTAGCGGCCACTTTAGCTGTTGATGTTGAATCGATGTTTATGAACATGATGCTCAAGTCTAAAGATTTAAAGGCCGAGCCGACACTACCTCTCTCTTTCAGGACTCTGTCTGGATCGCGGACAGCGTGATCCAAGATGAATTAATTAGTCAGGTTAGTATTACTACATATCCGAACTTATAAAACAGTTTTCAATTTTTTTTCTTAAACTTCTTTTTTTTTTTAAGGGGAGAAAATCATCGAATGACTGCTCCCGCCTAGGTGAGGCGGGAGGGAGTGTGTCAGACTCTTACTGTACTGACTAAAAACCACCCCGTTCCTTCTCCTGCACGTCGAGCCGGAGCCCCGGTAACCCGTTATACTAGGAAATAAAAGGCGAAAAATACGTCATTCATACAACATTTAAGATTTATTTTATTTAAATGTTTGTAAAATAGGATTTGCAGAACAAGAACATTTTATAACAATAAAAATATTAAAAAATACTCTTCAAGTACACATAGTTAAAAATGCAGAAAAGATTTAAATTATTTTTTCAATCTTAGTGAGGTACTCCAAACATTTATTCCGATAAAATGTATTGTTATAAAAAACAATGCTGTTGTAAAATTCACCAACATTTGTTGTCTGCACCATGAGGGAGTTTAGTACATCTTTAGTACCATCACCCCTCACTGTGTTACACTCAGAGTCCACTTGCTCAAGGTAATTTAATGCAGATTTGTTCATAAGATTTTTCAACACAATTGTGTTCTGAGATGTAAATCCAATCTTCTCAAAGCACTTCTTAGTGATGATGTATATCACACTGACATTGAAGTGGGACAGCATGCTGATGTTCTGAATGAGGAGTGTTTGCCCAACTGCTAACTTGTTTAAACTTTGCAACAGCATCTTAAAACATCTCTTCTCAAATACATGGTAGCTCTCTGCATGCTCATACTCAGGGAGCATCAGTCTCAAGTGTATCTCCAGTCCGTAGTCTCTATCATTATCCGTATTTTTCCCATCTTTACAAAATATTATTTCCTTAAACTCTTCTTCAGCTAAAATCTGTTGGTATAACTTAAATATAGGTACAAATATAAACTTTGAGCTATTTATTTTCTGTAAAGGACAGCCATATGTGAAGATGAGTTTCAGTTCTGTCTTTTCATCATAAAAGCACATCCATTTCATTTGCTCATTTATTAATATCAGAGGGTTAGACAGTACTTCAGCTTGGAGGAATGAATTTAAATTGTTTAATTTTTCTCTGAGAGACATCTTACAATAGAGCTGCCTCTCTGTGTATGATCCACGGTGGTACCTAGGGTTCATATTGATTTTGTTTTCTTCATGTAATATTCCTTTCAAGATCTCTTGTTCCATATCTAAGGGCTTCAGATCATATTGCCAGATAAATTCTGTAGCTACTATTCCTCGGATTTTCTTGATATCTCTGTGGAGCGCTATATTCTTCTGCATGAGGTAGGCCTTGAGGTTATTGTTGATAACTTGGCACTGTATAGAACAGAAGTAGCCAGCACACTCTACAACCTGTTTGATAAATGTCTCCGGTATTGCTTCAAGAGGGAATAGAGCAAAACTTCCATAGACATCTGTTCCATATGCAGACTTCAGTGTAGTAAGGAACATCTCCAAGCTAGCCATGCCCTTATATTTGAGGCAAATGGCATAGACCTCAGAGTTGCCTTGTCTTGATGTTACTGGCTTGTAAATGTTCACTTCACTGAACAGGTGGTTGACAAGATACAGGAGACTCACTGTTGAATGTTCAAATAGTGTGAACAGCTTGAAGATTAATGTGCCACCTGCAAAATGCAAAGAGAAAAGGTTTCAGTTAATTTATTCACCAATTATTATAAATATTTATATTCAAGTATGTTCTGAAATAGTGTGACATCTGTACCTGGACTAAGTGACTGCAATGCAGTAATGATCTCACAGTAATGTAGAGGTGATGTCACTTCCTCCTGGGCATCAGGTTTTTGCAGGCAGTCAATGGACCCATCAGCTGTCACCAGCAGGACCTGGGTCACAGAATAATCAGCAGAATGTAGCTAGCCATTTCTAAATAAATAACATTCATTTTTTGTTTTTATCTTCTCATTAATCAATGAATGTAAAAATACCTTATAGCAAATAAATTGTATAGTACAGGCTAACAACCTTTCCTAAAGATTTCGCCTTCCTGATGATAGCCTGTGAGTTCTCCCAGTCCATGAGGTTCCCAGTGTTGTCTGTCCCAAAGTCCCAGTTGTTCAGAGTGTGGAACATGAAGCGGTCATCACTGATCATGTTGGATGGAGAGTTGCCTTCATAATACGGGTTTAGCGTGTTAGCTACCCACTTCCACTAAAAGTACAGATATCAATTAATTATTTGTAATTAAACTGTCCAACACCGAGCGGTCACCAGTGACCGCAACCTATTGTTCTTTAATTGTGTCTATAATGACGGTACTCAATGAGTTAATTAAGGTGAAAGTACTTAAATAATGGAACTCAAATATAAAGTAATAAGCACCATGATGTCATGGATCATAAAATTATATTAATTAAGGTTATTAACAGCTAATGTTCAGTACATAGATATGATAATCAATACATAGTATAAAACAAAGTCGCTTTCGCTGTATGTCCGTATGTATGCTTAGATCTTTAAAACTACGCAACGGATTTTGATGCGGTTTTTTTTAATAGATAGAGTGATTCTTAAGGAAGGTTTGTATGTATAATACATGCATATTGCACCCGTGCGAAGCCGGGGCGGGTCACTAGTATTGTATAAACAGGTGCTGCTCCTATAATGGCAGGTGTTAATAGTCTATTTATACAAACTCATATGATATGATACTGTATATGATAGCTGTACATCACCCCTACATGCACTCACTTCTATGTTCTGGTAGTTTGACTTCAGGTAGTGATTCAGAGATGTGATGAATGCTCCTGGTGCTTCACACAGGTGTAGTGACACCATCTTCCTGTCTAGCGTCGCCTCTGCCGGTATAATGTTGTACGTGCACGCACACTCGTAAAACTTGGTCCATGCCTGTGTAAGGAACTCTGGGTTTACGAGACACCTGATCTTCCAACCAACTTCCCCCGCAGGATTTCTGCGCCGTGTATGACTGCTCCATTCCTCAATATTAAAATCATTCAACTGACTTTTGTGAAAATTTAATTGATTTTTCAAGTCCACTAACTGCTTCACTTTCCAGGGAGGCGTCGAGAACCACGACTCTTTCTCAGGCAATTTCCAATCATTGTGGAAGCGGAATTGGAACTTCTTGTTAAATAAATTATTTAATTCGTCGTGATAATCATCATTTCTGAAAAATGTTTGACGCGATTGTAAGAAGCAACTATCAGTTTTATGAAACATTTTTTATTAAAGTAAACGATATTGAGCTATAACAAGTTACAAATTTAAATAGAAAGCAACTAAATTTGCACAGCTTCGTATTAGAAAACTAATTTATTATTCAGCTCATTTTTATTAATACTGCGTTTCATTTTATTTTCATGAAGGAAAACAAAATACACAACCAGATATTGACGGAAAATTGACGTTTGTCGATTGACAGGACAGAGGAGAGCAACTTGTGACAGTAGCAAGCAATAACAAATTGTATTATGGCAACTGGCAATGCCAATATATCTTCAAAATTTCACTCATTCAGTTTGAACAATTCAGCAAGCTATTTCTTTTTTTCGTCTTTTTTTCAACGTCCAACCCAACTTTATTTCTGTATAAATTGGTGTGTTCAACAAACCAAAAACCGTTTAAAGACACTATACAATTTATGAAAACTTGTGTATTTATGGTTGAATTTACTTTTTTAAATATATAGATTATTTCTCGTCGTATACAATATAATCTGTATCATGTATTGTCATTACAATAATCTTTCAATTCTGTATCCGTAAAATAACATGTATACTCTAACAATGAGGTGAATGAACTTTTTTAGTTTTCTTTTGTGTTTGTGATTCAATTATTTGTTTATTTTACATTGATTGGATAATATAAACTGAAGATGCAGACCAAATGTGACTAACGTGAGACTACTTATTTCAGACTGCTTGTAACATCGACTTGATTGACAAACTCGTAGGTACTGATCTATTTTACCGTTAGACTGTGATCATGAATAATTGGAATCAAAGTACCATGCGAAATGACGACCGGAATGACGATAAACCACCTTACTCGAGAATATTCGTAGTATGTAATAAGCAGTTACGGGTAGAAGACTTGAAGCCGGCCTTCGAGGTATTCGGGCAAATAGAAGACATACATATGCCCAGAGATCGTAACACTGGGGAGTCTAAGGGCATCGCATACATTAAGTACACCAAAACATCATCTGCAGCCATGGCAATTAAGGAGATGCATTTGAAAACTATTCAGAATAGTAACAAACCTATACGAGTAATGGTTGCCACTCATAAGAATGACAATCACAATACTAATGAGGACAAGTACAAGCGTCTCTTTATTAAAGTACATAAAGAAATAACTGAGAGTGAGTTGAGACAGCACTTCTCAGCATTTGGTCATGTAGAATCAGTTCACCTTCAGAGAGATAAACTTACTGATGAGTGTAGAGGTTTTGCTTATGTCAATTACAACACATTTCTTGATGCAGCCAGAGCATTCGAAGAATGTGATAGGAAATACAAAGCTATATTTGCAACACCTAAAGAGGAACTAAAACGAAGTAGGAATAGCATTGAAAACTTCACTGACAACTTCCACTCTAGCAACTCTAGTATTATCAAAGATAATTTTAGTGATCACTACAACCAGGCTAGAGGAGAAATAGTCAAAAGAGATAGTTTGACTTCATTGATCAGGACCAAGCCCCACAACTGTGACACAGTTAGTGTCACTTGTAGCCCACAAGTGCCACAAAAATTTATTGAAAGACTATTTAACATTATACCAGGAATGACTTCTTGTAAATACACTTCCGATTCCTTCAATGGATATTGTAAGGCCATTATTTCATATGAAGATGAAAAGTCAGCTGCTCATGCTGTGGATAGATTAAATAATTTTGAATTTCCTTCTGGAGAGATCATATCTGTTAAACCTAATGATAATCCCTTGAGCAAGGCAGCCAATAATCTATCCAGTATTGTAAACAGCTTCAAAAATGCTATTGACTCAGCAAATCCTGACTTAGTACAGCTTGCTGAGGTTATTGCTCAAGCATCAACTTTGATAAAAGAGGCTACATCAGGCCCTAGAGAGTTAAAATTGGAATCTTCTCAATCAGAATTCTGCAGTGTTAGCTTGCCTCCGCCACAACCACTGGCCAACATCAACAGCAGAGTAGCCCAGAGGTGCTTCCTTGTATTCAAGCCTCATCCTCCCCCTGTTTCGATACTGAAAGATGCCTTTTGCCGCTTTGGTGATCTCATAGATGTGTCTACTTTCCCTAACAAAACATTTGGTTTTGCAAAATATGCATCAATAAGAGCTGCTCAGGAAGCCATCAAGACACTCCATGGGGCCACTTTGGGCGACATTAGGCTGAAAGTATTAGAGGCCGATGAGAGACCGTCTAAAGAAGATAAGATCAATGCTGATGATGAGAATGGGATAGACCAATACACTGACCGTAAGAGAATGAAATTACAAGACTCCAGCTCAAGCTGATGACAAGACACAAATTATAAGTACAGATCTGATGCAGCTGTTGTAAATGTTGTTAAACTTAGGAAGACAATGATCATTACAAGCTTTTTTTTATTATTTTTTTGTTAATTAGGTTCTACTTTATTACTGACTTTACTGAAACAATTTTACATTCTTATGATTTGACTATTTATTTTGGAATGTTGGACCATACTTCAACTACTTTAAAAAAATTACTCATTTACAACATATATTATGAATGGAATACTGTACTTTTACAGACACATTATTATATATTTAGAGACCAAAAGACCTAAAATTTGGAGTACTTATCAAATTAAATCTTCTTAAAATTAACTTAATAAATTATACAAACAAAAATACTGACTTTTTATTTGCAAATAAGAGATTACTTATTTCATTACTAACACTAATAATATTAAGATACATGGCCATGCAGCCAACACGTACATCTTACTAAGTAAACTATAATCTATATCTATAAAATCACAATTTAATAAAAAGATCACTGGATCATAATTTTTACATCAAATTTCTCAAAAATCATAATGTGTACTATATTTTTTCTGTGGATTTTTTTACATGACTCACTATTACGGCTCTACTTGAGATTAATTCATATTGTTCCTTATTCTTATAAAATTCATTTCAAATAACAATTTCATTTTGGTGGTTAGAAGCAAAATAATTTGAGTGAAACTAAAACATGGGTTAAGAACCCCACTCTACAAAAAGCTGTGCTTCGACAACAAACAATAGAGATCCATAATAAAAAAAAAACAACATTAACCATTTAAGCTTTGTTCTGCAGCAGATATAGGACTTCATTTAGATCAGAGATCAATTTTTTTATAATATTGTCATACTGCAACTCATACCCATCCTGCCGGCTTTCAGTCCAGTTCTGGTTGCTCTCACTGAGAGTTTTCTTGGAGTCAACCAACTGAAACAGCAATAATGATGTCAGATTACATCTAAACAAGTACTTATAATGTTATTGTTTTTTGAACTCCTTGTTACTTACCTTTGTAAACATGTTAACGTCTCCACAAAGCTGCTGCAGTTTAGCCTCAAGTTCTGCATTTCTCAATTTTACATCATCATTTTTGTTCAATTTCATGTTGGCCAAACGTTTGCCAAGCTGGTCTAAGCTCTGTGCATATTGGTCCAAGTTAAGATCAATCATTCCTGAAGGCCTGGGAGGTTGGTGTTCCAACGCAATTAGAGATTGTTTCAGACGCTCGGCGTAGCCCTTCAGAGAGGAAATAGCTTCATCAATATCAACATCCATGTTGTCTTCAGCCATATCTGGCATCAACAACTTTGGAGGGCCGGTTTCCAAGAACTTTGATATGTTCTCATGTCGCATCTCATTGTTAGCAGGTTGCTCGTAATTTCCGGGCACTGTAGATACAGAGTCGTACATGGATTTTATTTCCATCATAATTTTTTGAGAATCTTCCAATTCTTTATCCAAATCTTCGGTCATTTTTTCTAATGCGTTTAATTTTAGTATCGATTGTATGTATTCAGCAAATTCACCAGGATTCGTTTTCATGTGCTCACCCATCTTTAATCTTTGTAATGTTAATATTTAATAATTTTTATTTCAAATTTTCTATATTGTTTTCTATATTTCGTTGTTCAGATGGAGATGGAAATTCGATCAATTGAGATCATAGACAAAATACCAAAATACGGATGGAAGGAAATGACAGCTGTGTGACAAACACTTCAACGATCAGAAACTTGTAGAATTAGACGTTTATTTTAGATGAACCGTTAATTATTATTCCAACGGCCAAATTATAATTCCATTGTAATAAAGATGTCAGTTTTCAACATTAAATTATTGTTTTGTGTAGGATTAAGTTACTATTTATCAAAATGTTAAGATAGATTATCTTGTTTACGTTAAAGTCTGAGTAGTATGTGGTGGTGGCTTGCGATTCTAACTCTATGCTATGCTTACCATGAAGTGTCACTGTCATTTGTCATTTCATTTGACAGATAAATACACGTGCCCCTTTTGAGATTTTGTGTTTACTATTCCGTTAGAAATATAAAAAGAAATAAAAATGGTGCGAAAATTAAAGTTTCATGAACAAAAGCTATTAAAGAAAGTTGACTTTATATCATGGAAAGTTGACAATAATCTCAATGAGGTGAAAGTTATGAAAAAGTATCACATTCAAAAGAGGGAGGATTATACCAAGTAAGTCATATTTAATTTTTATATAGTAAGTTATAGAAATATTGTTTGTTAAAGAGAATAAAATTGTAACACCTTTGTAATGTAATAGATACAATAAACTATCACGAGAGATCCGTGAATTGGCAAATAAGATAAAGGATCTGGACGCTAGCAATGAATTTCGTACTGAGTCGAGTGCTCAGCTTCTGGAGAAGCTGTATCAAATGGGATTGATTCCAACGCGGTGGGACCTAGCCCTGGCTACCAATGTTTCAGCTAGCTCGTTCTGCAGACGAAGACTACCTTCAGTAATGGTTAGAAGTAAGTACAACAAGTATACTTTTACATAAATACCACAAAAAAAACTTTAATTACAATATGGTACAGATAAAGTAGACAACAGTAGTGTTTTGTATAAACTATGTTTAAACCACAAAGGGTCATCTTAAAGGAGTCTCATCTCATGGACATTTGGATGTGTTTACTGCAATACACAGCAGTACTACATACTGCACCTGTCTAACATACTCTTTTATGACTAATATTTCAGATAAAATGTCTGAGAATATGAAGGAAGCAACTAAATATATTGAGCAAGGACATGTTCGAGTGGGGCCGGAAGTTGTGAAGGATCCCGCCTTCCTTGTGAACAGAGCTCTGGAGGACTTTGTTACCTGGGTCGATGGGTCAGCCATTAGGAGACATGTCATGGAGTACAATGATTTAGTGAGTCCAATATTTATTCATCTTTGTGTAGCTATCCTAAAGGTTTTATCGATGACATTATCCTACATTACCTTGTAAATAAAATAAAAAGTAAAAAGTCAATTTACGTAATCCCAATTTATGATAAATTCCTTTTTGATTTTTCATGTATATGAAGAAATAAATTTCTTTAATCATAAAACTTGCAGAAGAATAATGGAATTATTGTGTTTCTGTTACAGAGGGATGATTTTGAGATGCTGTAACATTCTGAAGATGATTTTACTTTAAGTTAGGTAGTAATTATATCTATGGCACACTGTAAATACATTTCTTAAATGTAGGGCAATAAATAATAAAGTTTCATTTTAAGTATTAATTCATTTTTTATTTTGTATTAATTCATCCAGCCACTATCCTGTACTGACTATAGACAAGATTTTTCATAAGATAATATTTACATTCTTTTTATACACAATAAACTTATCACATACATTTAGGAATAAAAATAACATATATATATGTATTATGTAACAATTTTTCGATTCTACAATTATTTTTTTAAATTTGATTGGCCGATGTTTAGCCACTACCTCACCTGGTAGTACCTATGATACGGCCTACTATGAAGCAGATAGATTTAAATTACATCTACACTTAAAATCATAACACTAATGACCTACCACATCTACAGTTGTAACTAAAAATAATATAATTTAATTGCGCAATAATCAAGATTCAATTCCTTTTTCATGAGCCTCTCTAGACTTATATAGTACAGTTTTTGTGTAATATTAATAAAATTGTTTTGATCTATTTGATCTATAGATGCCAGCATATCAAGCTACCCTAAATTATCAGATTATAATCGTTCAGTTTTCGACTTTATCATGAGACAATTAAGTAAGTTTAAGTAGTTTATGTTCTGGCATTACTGTACATCATAATGTTCAGAGCTACCAATTCCTGAATTACAAATCCAGCATACTGTTCCTCTGTGCCCTGGACTCCAGTATACCAGCTATCCTTGTGATAGCCTCCGCCTGTGTAGTGGCAGCATCTGCCAGTCTTCTCAGTGCTTCAGCCTGCAGCAATGAAGCTTCAGCAGTCTTTGATGCAACCACAGCACGCTGCTCTTCTGCTTTCGCTCGTATTAACTCTGCATCCGCACGCTTTTTCTCTACTTCTATCAACCATTTTGGATAGATACCTGGGAAAAAAACGTGCATTTGATATCAGTATGTTTATTTCAAAAGAAAATTCAATTATCTGGGGATTACTGTTTGAAATATATCTTGAGGATAGGAATGCTTGGCAGCGTGTTGGTTCGGCTCCACTGGACAATACTCAAATGTAGTCAGTACCTAGTTCAGATTACGATAATAGGTAATTAACACTTTGATTCCGATGAAGGCAATCTATTTTTCTTGTGGCATCGAGCATTTCTTTCTTTATTTAAACAATAGTTTATTTTTTTCTTGTATAGAAGCACTATTTTATATGGATTGTCAGTATACATATGTGAGGACCATGTCAGACTTAAGATATTTGTTTTCTCTTGGTTATGTTTTTTTTTTCTATTTTAGTATGTTCTGTTATTTGTATGTTGCGTCAGGTATGTCTTTACATTATTCTCACATGTGTGTACAATATTGGAATATGTATCAGAGCAATGTAAAACAGACTTTTTTTAAAAAGAGTAACGAATGGAGTTTCTTGCTCGTTCTTCTCCACTCGAATCGACATTTTGGAACGAGCGCCTAGCTTCAGTGACGGACAGACTGACAGACTATTATATATCTCATATTTGTTGACGTTTCAAAAGTACCAAATTATGGTCTAATTGAAATAAATGCTTTTGAGTTTTGAGTTTTTTTTTGAAATATGCATTTTTTTTATCATATCAATTGATAATAATTTAATTTCAAAAATAACTTACTCTGTAACGCAGGTGCATTTGAGTCATTGTCATTTGTGTATTCACCTTCAAAGGATTCGGCACTGTAATCACTGTCATCTTCACCACCTGAAATATGATGGAAATAAACACTTAAAACAATGGAATTACAATAAACTAATGTTAAACTTGTAAAATCTTTAAAAGATAAGAACCAAAATTTACCTGAGAGCCTGCGGGTTGCATTATTTGCTTTACTAAAACTATTTACATGTACTGTCTCCTGAAAGGTTTCCAATTTGACTTTCGGATGCATATTGTTTTGAAAAGAGGAATGTGAGTCAGCATCTTTGGACTTTTTCTTCTCATAGTAAGGTCCCAATATGGCTAGAACTCGCTTCTCCATTTTGGTCAGTGGCCTAACACCCTTGAGAGAATTTCCAGCTTTCTTCCTCTTTAGCAACCAAACCTTATTCTTTAATTTATTTTTGAAATCACTCCAATACTGAAAAACACACAACATTAATTTTCAAAAACAGTTGAATCTAAATGATTGGTTTCGAAGTGTTTCGTTTTACTTTTGTAATTTGAAGTTTTAATTTTATTTTATTAACCTTACTCCATCCATCTGTAGTCTTCTTAGTGCCTCCTCGGCAGGAGTTCAGTATTTTAGCCAGCTCTTCCCATAGCCTTTTGGATGTGTGTCTGGCTTCAAGAGATCTAAGGTTACCTGAAGCAAACTCCACATGCTGTGCCATGAAGTCTATGATAGACTTCACTTGTTCATATGATACGAGACGAGATTTTCCGTTGTTGTCACTCATCTTAGGGCCGCTAAAACTGAAGACTAATGATGTAGATAAATTATTCACCTTCACTTTTAGTGATATCATGTAAAGGATTTTGAATAATATTGTATTACGTTTCTCAAATCTCAACCGCGTATTGATACGAAGAACTATAGTCAGAATTTTAATTAGATTCCAGATTTGACAATAGCTACTGTCATTTTGTGAAATAATGATACCACATATAATAGTTTAATGATGAACACAAAAATCGATAAACAATCGGTGTGTGTGTTTTATAATAAATGTTACAGAAAGTGACAGGATAGCGATAGCGATGACGGCGATAATTTATAAAATAACTTATTACCATAATACATATATCTGTTTTATTTGTCATGTTCCTTCATGATTCCATTTTTTTATTTATTTCACACACAATTATAAAAGAAAAGTCTCAGATCGTTAATTAATCGTCAAAACTAAATTATCGGTTCAGAAATATTTAATTTCCTAAAATACATAGTTTACGAGATTACAATTATAAACGAAAATAATCGATCCAGAAATATTGCATTTCCATATCGAATAATTTCGCAACGTCACTATTTAGTAATTGTCATAACGTTGCAACACTGAAATTGTCAAATCTGGAATCGAATTAAAATTCCGAGTATATGATCTGAATTTCAATTTTAATTAATTCGTTTTCACATTCATGCCATTTTATGGTTTCATTATTTAAAGAGCATACTAACATTAAATAACAGAATCTATTAGGCAGTGGTTGTAACGTAACGATTTGTATCCCTTGGTTATATTAATATTTAATGTTCCAAGTTAGTGATTTTTCTACGTACATTAAAAAAATATCAACAAAAACATGATCATCAACTGTCAAATTTCTGTTTACATGACAGAATGCTGATAATGTATTTTTCGTTCAGAAATACATTTTTATCTACAGTAAATATTTAACGAACTATTATTATGTATTAACTTACGTAGAGTGAATCAGTCTTTGAAACAACGTATTCGGTTACTAACTCTCTGGTTTAAATGGGTGATGGTGTTTATCCATTTTGAACATGAAAAATCGCCCACCCATCTCTAGTCTAGTCGGGAGGGGTTACCATCGGCGTCGAGACGACGATGAAGTACCTGGGACTCGTCCTCGACAGTCGGTGGAACTTTGAGAAGCACTTCCGACCTTGGGCTTCAAAGTTAGATAGGACGGGGGCGGCGCTTAAGCGCCTACTACCTAACGTCGGGGGGCCAAACACCTCCTGCCGGAGTTTATACGCTGGGGTCATGCGGTTCATGGCGCTCTACGGCGCCGCTATGTGGGCGTCGAACCTGATGCGGTGGCCCGTTCGGGCGCTGTTCATATCACAGAGGGTCATGGCGATCTGAATGATCCGCGTATATCGCACGATCTTCGAGGAGGCGGCGAATCTCCTTGTCGGATTACCGCCGTGGGATCTGGAGGCAAAGGTGCTGAAGTCTGCACGCAGAGGCACGTCGCCGGGGCGAAACTCCACTGCCACGCCAGGTTAGTGCGTGGCGGAAAGAGCTTCGGCGCGATCTCTTGGCGGAATGGCAGCAACGACTGTTGCAACCGAGGGCTGGACTCGCTGCCATCGCAGCGGTAAGTCCCCTCTTTGAAGCGTGGCTTGAGAGACGCTACGACGTCCTCACCTACCGCCTGACGCAGGTCCTCACCGGATATGGGAGCTTCGGGAGGTACCTGTCTCTGATAGGGTGGGAGGAAACCTCGGGTGTCGTCACTGCAAAGACCGACATAAGGACATGGTGGAACACACAGTCGGAGAATGCCCTGCGTGCCCTAACGGTTTACCGGGGCTCCGGCTCGAAGTGCAGGAGAAGGAACGGGGTGGTTTTTAGTCAGTAAGAGTCTGACACTCCCTCCTGCCTTACCCAGGCGGGAGAAGCCATTAGATGATTTTTCCCCCCTTAAAAAAAATCTCTAGTCTAGTCACAATTATAGCTGGAGTAGTGTTAGTGTTGTGTATGGTAAGCGTATATTAAAAAAACTCGTTAAGTTGACGATACCGTTTTTGTATGACCGGTATGACCAATATAAAAACTGAAGAAATATAAAAATATGGCAACAACGTTCTTGTCTTGCGCCGCGAGTCTGCGCAGAAAATAAAAAAAAAATATTAGGAAAAGAAATGGCAGTTACTAGAGAGAAAGAAAATTGTTCAAGAAAATTTAATGGAAATATACCTGCATTATCTCTCAATAGTGATAATATGTCGACGTCGACGGACAGTGACGACGTAGCGGACCCGACGTATGAAATTAGGAACATTCAAAGCATCATCAACGTAACCCGTGAAAACATTGACGCTCTGAATGCAAAATTTGCTGGTTTCCAGCATCCACCGTCATTGTATTTGTCTGAATACCAGGAGCTAACGTCAAAGTTGCATAATTTAGAGTTACGAGAACGAACTTTACGTGAATTGCTGCAGTGTGAATCGCCGGACAGAAGTGAGGAGTACTCGTTGCAGGATGACAGTAAAAAGTTCGATACTCTTACGCGGCAACCGAAGGTGTTCCTGCGGGCGCACCTGCCGAACCAGCAGCGGACGAGTGTGCAGGTGAAGGAGGGCGTGACGCTGCGGGACGCGCTCTCCAAGGCGCTGAAGCTGCGCAACCTGACTTGTGAGATGTGTGAAGTGGTGCGGACAGGCAATGACCTAGTGATACCTTGGGACATCGACATTACTATGATCGACGCCGAGGAGGTCAGTGCAGTGTAGTTTGTTTTGTTTTGGTGATGGTAAGTCTGTGACACAGCTGTAGCCTGTTGGGTCACTTCACTTGTCCTTGGTCTCCCTGTGCACACAACAAGTTTATGAGGAAGTTTAGATGGATAGCTACTGGTAGGATGTCAAACTAGTTGTTTTGCTCAAATAATAAAGCTATTAATTGATTTTAGACCAATAATGAGTATAGTAATACATGTTTGTTACATATTACAGAAGACTTGATAGCTATGCAACAATGTGATAAATAACAATAGTTTTGAGTTGAAAATATGATAGAGTCTAATTAGAATAAAATCAGAGACCAGACTAAAATCATAGGATTTCAATTCTTGTAATGGTTGAAAGAATCAGAGACTGGAATGTATATTAATAACAGAATAGTAGACCTTCCTGGAGTGTGATATAATTGTTAACTCGTCGAGTACCGGTTTTGCAGACACAATTATAGAACAATAGGTTGCGGTCACCGGTGACCGCTTGGTATTTGACAGTTTAAATAGAGAGAGAGAGAGAGAGAGAGAGGTTGTATTCAAACATCTAAAACAATGTATGCCATCAGCTGTGTACTTTTTTAATGAAAATTTTCATTCTTCTATGATAAGCATTATAGTAAATGCTTCTAATATGTAAATATAAAATAATTGTTTATGCCTTGATTTTAGATTCACCTAGCTTCGTTGATAGAAAATTGATTTTATTTTAATGCTTCAAATGTCCCCACATGTTGAATTGAATTAATTGAAATAAAGAGTTTATTTTTTAACTTACCCAATTTAACTATAATAACATTCAAATCTAAATGATTGCTTTACAGTATCCTTGATTTTGTTATGATTTGTTTATACCCTTGATCTGGATGCTTGTTTGGCTATAAAGTTTTCTTGTTTCAGAGACTTGAAAGCCTGAAACACTTGATTACTTTTTTAAACCTCTATCTATGAAGTGATGACAACTTTTCAGATGATTTTGTTTCATCTTTGTTTTACTTGAGTTTGGTTGTATATGATTTTAAAATTGCTTTTTAATGGATATTTTAATAAAGTAAAGACAAAGAATGGTGGCATACTCTGAAGGAATTCTTCATCATTTAAAATATCTTTAGAATTTATTTTTCAAACAAAACCGTAAACAGGGAAATACAGGATGAAGAGTATTATTTAACTACATATGTCCACTGATTACTTGGTATAATAAGTAAACAAAATTGTACCTAACAGGTAATTTATTACAGTCTGTTAAATAAAAATGTGTTTGTTAAATAGAAATTCAAAGTATCTTATCAAGTTTACCTTCTATAGTATTGTACATTGTAATACCAGAGAGTTATTAATACATTTTGTTGATTTGTAATTTGTAAATAACTTATGAAAAGAATATTTGTTTATTTAATTATTTATTCTTAATACTACTTAGTTGATGGTAATTTACTTAAATGTGGGTTTGATTCCCAGTCAGTGGTATTCAGAAATATAGTATTTGTTTTGTTTTTAAAAAAACTTTATACCGCACAAAGATTTTCTTCAGTGTGGTGGGTGTGTTTACAAACATATGAGTTCACATACACATGACACCCAGACCCGATACAACAATTTGTGGATCACACCAAGAGCTAAGCGTGCAGTGTTATTCGATTCTATTCTGGATGTAAAAGTGTCACGAATAAATGTTGGTGTGGGCTTTCATGTGTACAATATTGTATGTCAACAGGTGACAGTACGGACATTGGACAAGCTCCCAATAATGTCCCACATATCGCACCAGTTCACTCGGAAGACATTCTTTACACTCGCCTTTTGTGAGTGCTGTAGGCGACTGCTGTTCAACGGCTTCTACTGCTCGCAGTGCAACTTCAAGTTCCACCAGCGATGCGCCGACAAAGTGCCCAGTATCTGTCATCAGGTATTCAAACATCTTATGATGAGAAATGGGAATAAAGTAAATTTTTCCTTTTACCTCTATTACATATTATGCTATCACACAATCCTTTGGCTTTCCTATAATTTCTTGCCCAATCTGTCCATCATATACCATAATAATTTGATCATCTTCTTTGCACTATCCATTAATATTAATATTCAACACCTGTCTACTGTCCACTCATTGATTCCAACTTTCCCATTTGAGCGGTAGACATCTGTTACTTAATATAATAATGCAAGCATGCTAATGAATTCAAGCCCAATCAATATGCAGGCAATTCTATCATAAGTGTGAAGTTTATTCAAAATAATTTAAATTGGGCAGCTCAAGTGGTAGCATTAGTATTTCGACGACACTGTACACCTTATTCTCGATCCAAATTTATAATATCTTAAAAGTAGAAGAAAAGGACTGTACCTATAATAATAGGTAAAGTACTTTTCAAGTACTCTTACCAGTTATGTTGTTAGTGTCGTATAATAAGGCTATTGTATAGTGTACCAGTCAGTATTTTACACTCTGTAAGCCTTGCGAAAATTTTCGAAAATCACTTGTCGATCTTACAATCTTTTCACCAAAGCGGCAGGTACTAATAGATAATATTGTTACCCTTTGTCCTCAAACCAGGTGCGTATGACGGACACTTACTACGCAGCGCTGTTGGCACAGAACCCTGAGACACAAGCTGGCATTCTGCACTTCCCTCCACACTTCGGATACCATCACATGATCTCTAGAACGGACCAGAGCAAGTTAGTATTATTATCTTCTTATATAAGTTCTTAGTACATGCGCAAATAGCGCCAGTTTGCGCAAAAAACATGTTGTTTTGCGCAAGTGGTTTTAAGTTTTGTCAGAAGTAATGTTGGGCTTATAATCGGCTCTTTATAATGTGTTTAATTACATATATTATGACATGTCTAAGTTGTAATAAAGAAGGCGAGATACTAAGCATTGTAATGATGTGCAGGTCTATCTCTCCAGCAAAGAAAATGAAGGAGTTTGATGTCCACTGGTGAATATTATGTCACTAGATTGGCACCGCTTGCTTTTGTGAACGCATTCGAACACTACACTGACACAGTTACACGAATTGTACACACACGATGAGGTTGGAGCATACTTGATGAGATAAATGGCAATTCTGATTTATTGCCATTAAATTCACCAATATCTCGGCTCTAAAATAACTGCGTTGTGCTTACAAAGTTTGCATTGTGAGAATTTTGTTTGTATACAGTGAGAACCTCGCAGTGACACTAACGAGCTTTGTTTTAGAAATTCACACACATAAATAAATTCGTAATAACAATAAATCTTTGCTTCAAATCATGTTATTGGTCAAAACTTTAAGATTTTAATATTAACTAAAAATCGCGAGTTATTCACGTGAATATACTGAGAAAAGCTCTACTAGTTTCGAACCACAGAGGGGTTCTTCCTCATGAGCAATGTGCGCGGTCGCGGCGATGTCGCGCAGCCTACTATTTAGAGTAACGATTTTTAGGTAGGTAATTTGTGTAGTATGTCTCACGATTTTAATATTATATGAAATCCTATAAGAAACGAAAGTGATAATCACGAAAACGAAGTTTCCATTGTTTCTATCTACCCCAATGGGAGACAGGCAAGACGAGACTGTAGCTACATAATGAATATACGTAATTGTACTAAATCGGTCACTCAGTCAGGTATGCACCAACACATACACACATACAGTTATACTTGTCTATAGCACTCAATTGTACCTTCCCTTCTTCCTAGACTGGCTCTTGTATCTACTACGATAAACAACTATCTGTATATCAGTTAGACTGTAATTAAACCGCTATTTGTATAGTGCAATATTTACAGTAACATTTGATTAAAAAAAAATCAATAATTAATAAAGTGTCTGTAGATAATTTAATTTAAGTACTAATGTTAGAATTCTTTTGTGATACGGCTTACTTATGTAACTGTTTGCCATATGCTCAATAAGTTTCAAGCCATACTTGGGGCTCATAGTCATGAGCAACATTTCGAGTTACTTTGTAGAACAGTTACTTGAGTACACCTTATAATTTATTTAATGTATCTTTCACGACAATTATAGTACAAAATATTGTCAGAATGCGTTGCTAACTTGGTGCTTCTATATAGTGTTTAGTGCCTTCTAAACCTTATAACCAAGTAATTTGTCTTCTAATCAATAGTTAAATGATAGCTGTGTAACTTTTATGTTATGTTTGTGTGGTTTGCAACACCTTTTGTGTTTGTTGTAGGTCCCAAATTAAACCAATACCTCAATAACCAATGTATTATACAAAGCTTTATATTCATATACTTGCCCCACACACACATCTACTGTATATGAGTATACTCAAGCTACTCCTCCACAGTGTAAAATATTTCCTACATAGCACTTTGCTCTGCAAAGATATAGGCATAAGATTTATATTTACTGTTTGTGCAGGCACCAGCACCCGCGCTCCTTGAACCAGCAGGACAGATCCAACTCCGCTCCAAATGTCTGCATTAACATGGTGCAGAGACCTATGACCCTCGCTGAACATCAGAGGAAGCATAACCAGGTATATTTGTAGTGTAATTTATTTTACAGGGTAATCTAATACACGTTAGAATGATAGAAATATGAAACAAACCTTATGAAGATTGCAACTTAAGGCCTATATGAAAATGTTAACATTCCAAGAAGAGATAATTTATTGAATAAAAAATATTAACTTCTTTTGCTTGTAATATGTAGTTGCAATGAAGTCCATTAATGTGTAGAAATTGTACGCAATTGCGCGTGAAACGAATGTCTCAAACTATTAACTAGTTATCATCATCAATATCTGACAGTGAGAACTGTGTTTCTGTTTGTCATGCATTATTGAACTACGTTATACATTTTGATTAATTATTTTTAGTGTTAAGAATGGCAAATGATAGATTTCCTCTGTGGTGGCATACAATTTTTCTTAATTAATTAATTAAATATTCTACACATATGGAATCTCAATCGTAACTTACTATAAGATTACAAGTAATTGAGACTAAGACTCTTTTATTTACTTATTTATTATATGTGTTTAAGTTCTCAATAATATAACAAAGTCTCGTGTACCAGGGTAACAACAACTCGCCGCAGTCCTCAAACTACCTGACTTCGGGCAGACACAAACAGGATGACAAAGACAAGGCCGTAGACCAGCAGCACAGCCAGAGTACACAGGTTGTTATCACTGTATACCAGTCTTATTCACAATCTAATTGATCATCTACTTATGTTCTTAAATACATCCACACCAACAATAATCTGCCATTTAAGTAAAAACGCGGGTTACTCACGTGAATATACTGAGAAAAGCTCACTCAGTGAGCTGCGCGACGTCGCCGCGACGGCGCACGCTGCTCATGAGGAAGAACCCCTCTGTGGTTCGAAATAGAGCTTTTCTCAGTATATTCACGTGAGTAACCCGCGTTTTTACTTAATTTAGTATGTCTCACGATAGTTATTATTAAAACAAATCTGCCATTTGTTTGAATTCCAACAACTATCTTAGATTTCACTTACCTATAAGTCCCTGACAAGTTTGGGAAACATCATCTTAACGACTATGCACTACATATGACTGTTGTATGTTTCAAAGTTATCCTAAGAGTTGAGAGGCATACTTTTAAAAAACCTGAAGTCTCTTTTATATTATTCGTGTTTATACGTAACCATATTTTTACGTTGTCAGGCGTCTCCGACGGGCACGCTAAGGCCGCGGCGTGCGCGTGCGCGCTCGGCAGACGAGTCGTGGAAGAACGCGCTGTCGCCGCGAGAGAGCTACGACGACTGGGTCATACATGCCGACGAAATACTCATCGGGGCTAGGATAGGTGAGGCACAACTTACCACTTCGCACAACTCCCAAAAAGGCCGGCAACTTATCTGGTGGCGAGATTCCGGCTCATGGAGACCCGCAATCTCCATGAACAGCGTTACATAATTGCTTACCATCACCTCCTAAACTCCTAAGCTTGGTTGTCCCATACTGTCTTAACATCATGTTAAAACCAATGTTTATGTACAGGGTCTGGCAGTTTCGGAACAGTATACAAGGCCCACTGGCACGGCCCCGTGGCTGTGAAGACCCTCAACGTGAAGACTCCTACACCTGCTCAGCTACAGGCCTTCAAGAATGAGGTACATGATAACAAAACAATACATAATATTGTATACTGTTTCTGATTGAACATCCTAAAATACATCGTAAATTCATTGATGATCTTGTTTATAAAACCGCGGCACTCAATTCCTACGAAATAGGTTTTCAAGTGCTATCTATTACAAATATTACAGATTACAATTTCTTGACTTTACCATGCATCTGCTACTGTAAAAGTGGCATTATAACAATGTGTTATCGTACAGGTGGCAGTCCTCCGCAAAACCCGGCACTGCAACATCCTTCTGTTCATGGGGTGCGTGTCGAAGCCGTCGCTGGCGATAGTGACGCAATGGTGCGAGGGCTCGTCGCTGTACCAGCACCTGCACGTGCTCGAGACTCCGTTCCCACTGCTCTACCTCATCGACGTCGCGAGGCAGACCGCGCAGGGCATGGACTACTTGCATGCTAAGAATATTATTCATAGGTAACTTTTTATCTGTAGTCAATCCATCAATTAATTATTATTGCTCATATAGAAAACATTATTATTCACTATTTTCATAAAACTATATTTGTTATCAGTGTGTCATGTGTGAACTGTGATGTTACAGGGACCTGAAATCAAACAACATATTCTTGAGAGATGACTGGTCTGTTAAAATTGGAGATTTCGGTCTAGCCACGGCCAAGGTGCGGTGGTCCGGTGAGTAGCATTTTGTATATTATTATTATAAACGTTATATTATAAACAATCACTGTGTCAAGCAGAGTCACATACATAAAACAATGTATTTTATACTTTGGTATGATCTAATAGCTTGACTATTCTTATTGAAATAAGTAATTTGACTTGTGATATAATGGTATTCCAGACACATCTACAGCGGGAGGTATCCAGTGGCAGCAGCCGACGGGCTCGATCCTGTGGATGGCCCCCGAGGTCATTCGCATGGAGGAACCCGCGCCATATACCTTCCGCTCCGACGTCTACGCGTACGGAATCGTGCTCTACGAACTCATGGCAGGGGAACTGCCTTATGCACATCTTAATAACAAGGACCAGGTAATACAAAGAATATATATTTTTTCTCTGCAAATGTTAGGTAAATACTTGGTAAGGTTAAGGAAATAATCAGTTTTTTTTATTTTACTGTTCTTTTGTCTTCAAAACAAAATAATTTTGCGGCTAAGTTCTGATCAAATGTGTGTGTTTAGATCCTCTGGATGGTCGGGCGAGGTTTCCTGCGACCTGACGCTCGCCGAGTGCGCCAGGACGCACCACAGGCTCTGAAGCGTCTGTTCGAGGACTGTATCAAGTTCGACAGAGAGCAACGTCCTCTCTTTCGTCAAATCCTGGCCTCACTAGAGTCCATGCTGCGCGCCATGCCCAAGATCACGCGCAGTGCGTCCGAACCGAACCTCAACAGACAACTGCACGCCTCCGACGACTACCTCAGCTACAGCTGCGCGTCGCCCAAGACACCGGTCAACTTCCAGTTCAACACCGACACCAGTTTCCCGGCGTTTTACGGGTATGTGTGATGTGCCGATAGTTTGTTGTCAAGCATCACTGATTTATTGAGATGAAGTGTTGTTAATATCTACACACATTTATTGTTGCAGCATCCCAGTGCCCAACCAGCGGCACCCGTAGGGGTTGCTGAAGGGCTACGACTAGCCTGGCGGCGCACCCGCCGGGGCCGGCGCCGCGCGCGCTGCGTAGTACTGTAGTCTGCGGCAGTTGGTTAGCTCTAGCCATGGTCTGTATCACACTACACCTAGTCTCAGGCACGCGACACGTAATGCTCGGCTCGCATTCACGGTTCAGTGCATCACAGACTGTTCTCTATCAGACCAGTCAGATCTTTCGAAGGAAACATCTCGACTAGTCTACTAGCGAACTGCAGTGTTATAGCGGCCTTAGCTAGAATATCGAACTGTTTGAAACCAATTCGTGTATAGTTAATTATTTCAGTGTAAAATGTGATAATGCCGAAGGACAAATGTGAGACAGTATTTTATGTGTGGCTTACGACATAGTTTCTATCGGGGAGTTGTGATGGCTGTCTGAAGAGCGCAAGATAATGAGCTTCAAACGCGATGCTGTTCAACAGTTGGTTTAACTTAGTCAAAAATCAGCTGGGACTTTGAACAAGCTGATATATTTGCGACGCTATGACCCAATTCTGTACTAAAATCATTATTGACCGTGTCCGCTGGCCAAGTGAACTGATCTCTTATTTTGTTTATTCCTATGATTGTGATTGCTCTGGTGCAAGGTAAAGATCCTGTTTCCATTCTACCTTAAACATTTCCTGCGGTTAATCCTTCTTTTATTTTGTTCACTCGCTTTTACTGTTGTTCGTGTATGGATGTGTTTATGTTCGACAACGATCTTAAATGTTACCATCTCAGAATTGTCACGTTGAGATAATGAGTTTGGTGGTCAGATTGGTCATAGCAGTCAGTCGGAATAGGGTTCTACTGTCGATATGTTCACGATCTCGGAATGTATTTATCATTATTTATTTTATAATTTATTAAAACTTATTTATTATTGTTTCCATCCTAAAGTTGATGCGATCTAAAAATTGCATGTCGCTCAAAACGTGACGCATTATTAAAAAAAAACATTTAAAAGTGATTGGTTACTCTACTTACACAATATTACCGATTGTGTCTCATAATTGTACAGGATAGATGTAAGAAAAATCATCGCAAATTAACCAATTCTAAAGAAAATGAAATATTATAGTAAAACTCGCCTTTATAGTAGATTACTTATAAATATTTGCATGCATCTGAGCGAAAGTGAGCGGTGTTTGCTAGCGTGTAAGGACGATAATATCTTGATGTTCTAAAGCAGTCTTATGAAACCGTACATAGTACCTACAATCATGTTCGACATCAGAACCAAGTTGGTATGCAATAAAATCACATTTACGTATTAGACTGGACCTGCCGAGGGTAATATTCATCGTTATTTGGTAAATTACGTTAGTACCAAGTCGCCGAGAGAGCGACGCAGGCGCACCGGTCAAAATGGACGTTATTTTTCTGATATAAATGAAATATTTTTGTATTATCTCAATACATCATTAAGTGATAGTAATAATGTATGTTTTAAAAGTATTATTTGTACGATATAGTTGTAACCGAGTCGTGTTGAGACATAAATATAATTTATTCGTAATTATTGTAAATAATTAATTGTAATAAAGACCATAGTTTAATGTCGGAACACTAAGAATCTTGTGTATACAGTATAATTAATTTTAACGCATAACTATTAACTCTAAGAACACAATAAATTATTGTTTCAAATTATTTACGTGTTTTTATTTCTATAAATACATCAATGCAATTGTATTATGTCCAGTTAAACTATTGATGAATAATAACATCATGGTGTAGATAGGGTTTCATAGTTTCGTCGATCGTTTCTAAGTTTCCGTGGTGTAGCGGTTATCACATCTGCCTAACACGCAGAAGGTCCCCGGTTCGATCCCGGGCGGAAACATAGTTTTTGCTCGTACAAAAAAATTTAACACGCTTTATTTTACTTACAAATTGGAATGTACGTTACTTTATATTGGTATTAAAAATATTATGAATGTACTTTAATAACTATTGCAGACACGCTTTAAAACTGAAGATAAATATGAAGTCTCAGTTGGCTGTATTTTTGAAGATCTAGCAAAAAGAAGCAGATCTCATGATGATGGAGGTCTTGACTAAAGTTGAATGAAAAACAATATTCAAATTCAACGAGTCAGTTTATTTCACGATATTCGTCACTCAAAACTTTATTTTTCATACATCTAACATAATATTCCATAATACCCGTGCTGCAACCCTTTCAACATAATATCGACTTAATATACAAACAATTTAAAAAATTATCAACACATTAGGAAACGTCATAAAATACATAAAGAGGGCGCACACGGAATTAATCATAATAATAATGAACAAAAATACTATCATAGTACTTTTTGGGATATAGACCTTATTGTTAAAAGGTTAAAAACTACATTTATTGTAACAAATACACGAGTACTAACATTCCAGTCATTGACTGTATTTTAAACTTTATTATAACAACAATAATGTTGATATTTAATTGCATATTAAAATATATTGTGTATAACACGTCGGTTAAACAGGGTTAAAAGTACATTCAAAAGTGTAAGTTAAAAACACAATTTTAGGATAATAATATCGCGCTATCTCTATCATTTTGTGTGTGTAGTGACACATCATAACACCATCTTAAAATTGAGTGGCTGTTTGAGCATTCGAGCTGAGTACCAAAATGTATAAAAATATAGATAACAAAAACTTTCATCACTGATTGATAAACCACTTTTGCTATGAAAATGAGTTTTAGAGTGCCATCCATAAATCACATTTCGATTTTTTTTTTTCTATTAAAAGTCACGCTTTTCTATTAACATCCAGAAGGGAATGAAAATGAATAAAATGGAAAGGTCCAAAGGCTGTCTTGTCGGTAGTGGATACTGGCAGTGTTGTAGTATTATTTAAATGCCACTTGTACATGCAAATTTCTTGGCTTTTTTAGAAAACGAATGAAAATATTATAATCTAATCGTTAGAGTCCTCGCTGTCTGCATCAGCAGCACTATCTCCTTCACTCTTTTCTTTCTTCACTTTCTTGGCACGGATCTCGAACTTGGACAAGTGAATTTTCTTCCCGCCAATCTTGGTATCACCAGCTAACTTGATTGCGCGCTCCACAGCTGACGGTCCGTCGAATTCAACAAATGCTGTTGCTGTAAGTTAAATTTAAATTAATATTATATTAGGCACTGCTCCTTTTTTGTTTTGGATTTCAAATACGATTCGCATAGTGGGTGGTACTAAAATATATTCGAAAACTCAGTTATAATACTCTCTCTATTACCTGAGGCCTTAGTATGAGTTTGTTTTACGTTTAAAGTAATCGTAACGAATACGCGTTCGGTGCTCTGATTGGTTGGTTCATTGGCGCCGGCCAATCAGAGTGCCAAATGCGTACTCGTTACGAATACTTTAAACGTAAATGAAACTCGTACTAAGGCCTCTGGCTCTTATTAGTGGCGAAAAGTGAAATTTACAACTAATGTGCACCCTCTGCTTAAGCCGTTTGTGGAACAAAACCATAGGTTTATGTAATCTATACATACCCATACTCTTCTTCCCCTTGACTAAATGTCGTATGCTCCTGATTCTGCCGGCGCCGAGGAAGGTGGTACATATTGTCTGGTCAGTGAGCTCTGCATACGACCGGACGACGACTGTCGTCTGTGTAGCGGGGAGTGGCCTCTTCACCTGGATGCGGCTGCCTTCCAAATACGAATTATTTTCTTCTAGTGCCTGAAAATTATAACAAAGTTCTGTACAAGTGGGTCTTCAAAAAGCGAGTCTCATATGACTATGAAACTTGTCTTACTTGGCCTCATTAGTAATTTTAGCTTAGTCTAATCTGACAATGTTTACTTTTTGTTTTAAAGTAATTTATTTGGGAGTATTATAATAATGTTATTAAATTGTTTCTACATATAGTATACTATAGTAGTCTTTGATATATTCTCTTACAACTATGAAACCTGTTTAAGGTAGTAAAATAATATATAGTTAAATGTTACCTGCTCAGCACTAGCATCATTTTGGAAGCTGATTGTAGTGGTAAATACAGGCCTCGACTCTTCTGTGGGGTACACCTCTGCAATACTGAAATTAAATACCACACTTAGACACTATCTTTTTGGAAGCAACTTAGTTTCTTTTACAGTATTACATATTATCCATTACCCAATTTTCTTAATAGCTCCATGCTTAACAAAATGTTCAGTTAGTATCTTCTTATAGTTTAACATCATAGACAGGGGCAGGTGCTCCACAACCAGTGTGTTGGACAAGCCATCCTCATTCAATTCCCCCTTCTTATCCTTGTTCCATTTCCTCTTCTTCCACTTTATCTTCTCCTTTACTTCTTCAATTTTCTCCGCATTCTCTTTCTTGGAACTCTGAGGGCCTTTTGGTTTCTTATTCTTATTGAACTTTTTCTTCAACATTTTCCGCTTTTCTTTATCCACTACAGTCATTTCATCAAGCAGGTTTGACAGTGTATGTGCATTGTCTCCAATGCTCAAGTTCTCCAAGTCCTCAGCAATGTCAGGGTTGGCTTCTTTTTTGCGGGATTTAGGTGCCGGCTCTCCCTCAGCCTGTGATGTTTCAGCTGGGAGAGGCTTAGTTTTTGTCTTTTTACCTTTTTTTGTTTTAACTTCAGCAGATGTCTCATTGTTGTGGACATCTGTATCTGTTTGCTGTGACATTTGTTTCTTTACTTTTTTTATTTTCTTTTTTTCTTTATTACTTTCTTGGGGAGCATGTTTAGCATCACCCGAAGGAGAGACTTCAACTAATTTTTTTACTTTATTTAACTTACTTGTTTTTTTTTCAAGTGTAGCTTTACTATTATCAACTTCCGTATTCTGATTGTTAACTTCAGCAGCTTTGTTCTCCTTCTCAGACTGTTGATATTTTTTTATACTTTTGACATTCTTGTTCCTGTCTTTCACAATAGTTGCATTGGAGTCAAGTTTTTGATTAATTTTGGAGTCATCAGACTTGGTCCTCTTTACTACTACCTCCTCGTGATCATCTAACATGAAGCTGACTGACTTGTTCCTTTTCTTAGGTTTCCCGCCGGATAACTGGGACCTGGCACTATCTGGAGACTGTTCAACTGGGGGTTTGTTCTTCATTATCGACTTGACTTTTCCACCTTGTTCGTGACCTTTACCATTAGAGTTAGGAGTGGAAGTTTTAATTTCATGAGCAGAATTGGCTCGAGGAAAACTTGTGCCTAAGGTAGAGCCATCAATGTTGATCTGCGATATATCTATCGGCTCTTGCTTGTTCCGCTTTTTGTTTTTAATCGGTGTTTCTGGTTTCACGCTGACCGTTTTCGTTTTTGTATTTTCTTTAGTCACGACTCCATCAGATTTGCGTTTCTCCGCGCCAAGTTTATTCGTTTCAGCTGCAGATTTATAAAAGCCAGCAAACTCAGCTGTCCTGTCCAATGAGTTTTTGTCAATGGAATTTATTTTTAAGTCAAATGACTTAGATTTCATTTTTATAACTAACAAGTCGTTTTAACTTATAAAAGAAAACAAAAGTTTTAATAACACATGATAATCCGAACGTACTATGAATATTTTTGAGGTTATGTTTTGTACTTTCAGCAGCTGTCTAAGTACATACATAGGGCTACTACTGCCATCTGTCCTGCAATCGGTAAAGTAAATATGTGCCACAGATTACTAATCTAACTAATCTATTCAAAATTCTAATGCATTTTGGTCTTTGGTTTCATTTATTTACAAATTATATTGTTCAATCATATTTTGTTCAGGCGATTAGAACTAATGATTTTTATTATAAATTCATGTTTAATAATCAATGTAACAAAACAGCCATATTAGGAAATGTCGTTTTATTCCCAAATATTTATAACCAATTAGATATTTACATAATTATGTTAATTATGTAATTATGTTAATAATGTATCACATAGCCCAGCCCACCCCATAGCAGTTAAGTCAGCTGAAGTGGTAAGTGGCAAGCTATCAAGCTATGGTGGCAATGGCAAGTAATGGTCGTAGGCGGAGTAGGTTTCAAGGGCACATTGCACGATGCAAGAAGCACCGAGGCGGAATTCGATGATGACATTAATTTGAAATATGAAAATAATTATAAAAACTCAGTCAAATTTAAATGTCTACGTGTCTATCTACGTAAATAAATTACTCATAGATTGATTTTATCACCACACTTATTCTGAATGTTTTGAAAATTCGGATACACTTCTCAGAGTTCTAGAACTACAATTTTTGATATGGCAACACTGCTAACCTCACTTTTTAAAATCTATTTAATGGCGGATGCGCTTGCGTGATGCCGGTTTCGTGTTATTATTGCATATAGTTTGGCGTCTTTTCCTTGTGGAATTGTGATATCATTGATTTTACCTGTTAATACACGATTGGTGAGTAAAACTTTCAATAATATGATAAAATAGTGCACTAGGATTGCAAAATACCATAGTAACAAGTTATTACGAGGTAACGCTTCGGGTTCGTGAATTTTCCACTCGAATTTGAGGCATGCTTCATGGCGCGTATGGCTTGTTATGATGTATTTACCGTTATCTGTGATGTTACACATAGTTAAAATTAGCTCATCTACTAAACAGGCGTATATTTTGTGATTCTGCGTAATATGATGTTTCGCGCGTTAGCAACTACGCCCTTGAGATCTGAGAATAGGCGCCAAGTAATGTAGATAAGTTTTAGCAAAAAATAGATATGGCGGGAAACGTTGCCACTGTGAGAGCGTGACGGATCTTACGCCTGATTGCTTGAGTCGGTTCTTGTGTGATCAACAGCTGGACATTCACGATGGTAGCGCAGAAGAAAGGTCGTGGCGCTAAAAACCAAGCAGCGAAGGCTAAGGCCGCCGCCCAGGCTGTAGAAGAACCAGCACCCGAGATGGAGACCTCCGAACCCGTAGAGGCGGAGGACAACAACGGCGAAGCTGAACAAATCGAGCATAGCGAAGATGGTGCCGGTGACACCAGCGTCGCCGAGGGCAGCGGGGACGCCGACCAGAGCCAGGACAACGTCGAGGGCGATGCCGCCGGCGATGATAAGAAAGAGGAAAAAGTGGAGTCTGGTAAAATACTAGTTGAGAACCTCCCGTCGACGTACCTGTTCGACTACCAGGAGAAACTCAAGGAGTTGTTCTCAAAACACGGAGAAGTTACCAATGTCAAGTAAGTACATTAGTCCACTACATCTGCTGTGTTACTGATACATATTACTTGCCAACATTCAAATATCAGTCCCTGAAATGGCCTAAACTTATGAATCACTATTTGTATTTATGATTGAAGTTTATTAGTATACCTAAGATAATTGTGTGTTGTGTTCTCGAGGAGCAAACTGCACTCAGAACACAGGAACACTGGCTCTACTGTACGGAGTATTAATGAGACAAATTTTCTTTCTTTTTAGACGTGGTCCAATCATTGTAACTGAACTGACCACAACTCCGACATTATCGGCAATAGTCGAATTCAAAAACAAAGAGTCTCTGGAAAAGGTAAACAAAAGTTTATTAACATTTTATATTTTATATTGAAAAGTGATAAGTAGATTTTAGAATTTTATTAGCCTGCTTCTAAAAGAGGCTGTACTTATGGCTAAGATTATTTTTTTTCCAAATTATGTATATTACACAGAATTGTTGCCACTTTCCTCAAGTCATGTGCAGAATGAGTGACTATTTGAATGTTAGAACAGGCTGGTCTGCTACACTATATGCATCTGATTGGCAGCTTTGTATCCATTCACAAGTAAACATGTAAATTATTATTGGAAGGTGATGTGATGTAGTAGATCAGCTGATGAATATCTCATGTCCATACTGTGACTTGTCCTTATGTGTACTTGCAGTGGCAGCCGGTAAGTTTGAGGTGTGGTGCAGTGGGCGTCATTCGCATACTCTCGCGTGTCATGTCTGCTACACTATTGTTGCACATGTGACTATCTAATTTCAATGTCTCATTCATAAAAAAGTGATACTGTAATCATTACCTGTGTTAATTGCAAAGTTGTAATAAGAAAGAATATAAAGTAAACAAACATGATTCATGATTTGATTATGCACAATTAGTTGACTGAGAGTTTTGACTGAATGAAACCTACTGCACAGCCTTGTTGGTAAGTACAACTCTAGATGTATTTCGCAGCAGTACGTGCTAAATATAATGCGTATGTCCATAACGAGAGGCCGCGGCGAGCTCGCGATCTGACAGACTAAACATTCTGCTACACCTCACGCGGTTACCATGCCGACTATTGGCGCCGACACTGTTTGATTCTGTCGTACTATGTGCACGCAAAAAATGCGAACTATTAAACGTGCCTTTCTCTAATCTGAAAGATATAAATGGTACTTACCGTATATGAATTTAAACTGTATAACTTTATTTGCTACGACTAACATTCAATTCACTCATTTTGATTCGTAATGTACCTTTTTAACTCGTGTTGTTTATCGTTTATCGGTAAACTATGGTTATTTATTTCATCTGAAAATAGGCCAAATGTACAAGGCGTACTTGATTTCTTTAGCATAATCAAACATCAACAAAACAACGCGACAAAAAGAGTTTATGGGCCTGTAACATAAAAACAAAGATCGCGGGTTGCTCTGAGAATTCCTCCAAATAATGTGTTGCATGCTAGTTTGTCAGTCAGTCGGCTACGCAGGCCGAGGATCTTTTATGCGATTCTATCTTTACTCATCGTAATTGCGGCTAGAGCCGTGCATTGTGGAACACGTCTGATGCTAGTACTTGTGTTTAATAGCTACTAAACTATCATTAGAGCTCTGATTTACTTCAGGCTCTATAACATTATGTCGCTAAAACCATATTTTAAGAATTTCTAATGTTCCGATGTCTTAAATTCTCTAAGGAGCTTCTCTCTTGATTTGAAATTCAAGCAAAAATATTTTCATGTCTTGTAATATTGATATTTCTTAACTTTAACTTTTACACACTCCTATAACCCTTTAAAGAAGAACGTCCCACAATACACGGCATGCGTTCGTCTGGTAGCATATTGAGTGTTTGGTAAAACGCAGGCGATGTCCGAGGAGGGCACCGTGCTAGAAGGCAGCCGGATCACCGTGTCGGTGGAGTCCCGCGCCGAGACCGCCGTGCTGGTTGGCGTGCCCTACGAGGCCAGCACTGAGTACGTCAAGTTGCTGTTCTCCCAGTGCGGCGAGGTCACACACATACACGAGTTCAGCAAGACCAAGTACAAAATACGTAAGTTTCTTGAATATTTATATTATGTATAATTTCCAGGCATGTGTGACAGGATTATTTGTTCGGAACCTGGACAATGTAACAGACCATTTGTTAAAGTATGAAAAAATAAGAAGTCAAGAAAGTGGTTCAATCGTAATCCTTTAATTAGCCGTAGAATATTATATAACACAGACAAAATCGAAGCTGTAATCGGGGGTGCGCGTGTAACATCTATCTAATGTCCGCTTGAACAATGCGCTTTGGGGTAACGACCCCTCTCTTACAATATATACGGCATCCGTATTAGCGGCAACAGAAGGGGAGAGTAATGGAAGGGTGCCGCGGTGCCCACGCGGGAGAAAAAATATTGATTACTCGCTACCCGCGCTCGGATCATACAATCACTGAATGGGGACTGCACAATTCAACTTGCCACGTTCTTGGCACCTGTTTATTTCTTAACAAAATACACAAAAGGTAGCCCCGTCTCAAAAGCAAGATTACAAGTGTTACGTTCTTTTGACGAGTGTTCATTGTACAAGTTCGTGGCCCCTTCAAAGTAAGGAGGGTTGCCCCCTAACCACTTGTATTCATGCCGCACCGCTCGACAAGACGTACTACGTAGTATGTAGGGCATTTATTGAGTTTTCTCATAAGCTAAGAGCAAATCGCGAATCGTATATAGCTCATTATTGATTTATTACACGATCGGTACCCACGTTGTGTTAGAGTAGAATATGTAAATGAATACCGCGCGCTAGAGGGGTGCCTCCCCATGCGAGGGGAGATGATGTTAACGCTACAGAGTCTTATCGCCCGCTCACGTCCGTCAATCTAGCTATACAACCGTAGTTTGTACAAAATCGCAAAAGTAATTTATTGTAATTAACAATAATATGTATTTGCTTCTAAAACAGATAACATTGGAGTACCAACATGATTTAGTTACTTTGATATAAATAACGATAGCACTATCATCTTACCGATTTGTGAATAGAATGTACACAAAGGGTGATGTAAGGTGTAAAGTTTACTGACCATTATGGGTTTACGATAGTTTTCAAGGTCTACTGGCCAAGTACAGAGTGATACTTGTGTAAGCCACGTAATGTCAGAGTAGAGGCGGCGCGGTGGCCACTAAACTTTGTTGTTATGCGAATCTTTGTAAGACAATTAAAGATTAAAGATTCAGAGTTCAATGACCGGAAATGCCCGGTACATTGTTTCCTTGTGTTTATGAGAACGTAGTTTTCCGTGATAAAAACCATGTTCATGGCTTGTTCTCAGTGCCGGATTAGCCACGTAGCAAGAGTAGCAAATGCTACGGGCCCCGCGGATTGGGGGGCCCCGCGCTCAAATAGGTATTTCGTAATTACACCACTTCAACAGCAAGACTTATG